ATTTCTCTTTTGAAACTGGTACACAAGTGATTAAAGCTTTTTTTTTCCTTCTACACATTCTTCTGGTATTCCACAGGAAGGTGTCAAACAGGTACTGAAACTCCATTCTAAGAAGTTCACTCAACTGCCACTTGGAAACAGTTCAGTTAGGTACGTGTGGGGGCGAAGCTGTGGCAGGAAGAATGTTCTGAGTAACCAGAGCAATGGTTTTAAAAAAGAGAGCATCACGTACTGAGCTGGAACTACTTCTCACATAAGCTGGAGCGTTCCAATTAAACTCGCTGACTTTCTAATCCGTTGCCACTCGCACAGAAAAAAAAATTATTTAAAAAGAAACTGACTTTTTTCTCTGCTCCACCGTTTCCAGTTTGGCAGCCAGCCCAAAGTCGCCCAGCCGCAGCTCCATGTTCTCATTCACAAAGAAGTTGCCTGAAAGAGACAAATGCATGTGCTCGATCAGCATTCCACAGATAATTATGCGAGTCACCAGAGCCGTGGCAGATTCCTGGGATGGTTGCGCCCGGCGTCACTCGGTCATTTTCCTCATACCTAGTTTGAGATCGCGGTGCAGGATGCCCCTGCTGTGGAGGTACTTGAGGCCGGATATGATCTGTTTGAGGTAATAGCGCACCTCTGGCTCCGTCAGCGTGTGTCTCGCCTTCCAAATGTGCGCCAGGGACTGCGGAGACATAACAATGAGTACACTGTACCCCCCCTTACATCGGTCTATGAGACTGTGAAACACCGTTACACACATGCTGACAGGCATTCCAGCAGGATCAGAGCAAAAAACAGGACTATGAGGAAGACGAGCGCCTCTGATCAACTGTGATTAGGAGGTTTGGTAGAATGTGGCCAGGTTACTTCTGGGAGATTTTTCGAATATTGTCAGGACATGTCACAGCAGCATTACCAAACAAGTCATCTTGAATGTATTCAGTTATTGAGTATTGGCCATTTGCAACTTTAATGGAGCAAAAATAATCAAAACAGTAGCTAAAGCCCAGAAGGTTAGATTAAATACATTATGAATGTTATAGGTGTAATCCAGAACAAAACAAGCACTTGAAAGCAACACAGACCAACCCAGATCGGCAAATTTCTGATGTCTCACCTTCCGACTGCAGAGCTCAAGGAATATGTAGATGTTTTCTTGGTCTTCGAAGTAATGGGAGAATTTCACCACGTGCTTGTGTGACAGGGTTCTGTGCAGTTCGATCTCATTCGTAATCTGTCAAAAATGTGACAACAGATCAGTACGTGCTCATTAGTCACCATGTTTTCCTTCCTCTCCAACCAAGATCCCCAAAAAGATATGAGGCTAACCTTGTCCCTCTGGTGTGGTTTGGACACCCTGCTCTGTGGAATCACCTTCACAGCATACATTTTGTTGTTGGACAGGTCTGTCATCTCGTAGCACCGAGCAAAGCCCCCCTTTTGGGCAGAAACACAGGATGAGGAGTTTGGAAATGCAGCAGGTTAAAATAATCAATAATCTGCCTCAGGGGCCGGTGATTCATATGAAGATCAATAAAAAAAAATAAAAAACCCCACAAAGCAGTCAAAGTATTCCTCTGTTATTTAATCAATTGGAGAAGGACAGAGTGGAGAAAATTAATAGAAACGGTCTAAAGAAGGGTTAATTCGATGTGATGCACCATTTAATGGCCAGCTACGTCTGCTTCTGCTGTTGTCGTGCAGCAACAACAGACCCACAACTTGTCCATCGAGGTATATGGTAGCGTTTTTTGTTTTTGTCGACAGGCTGTTTGGGGGGGACATTTAGGATGAGGCAGACCTCGCTGCTGCATTCATTAACCGTGAAAGTGACGGAGACGTTTCCAGCTATGCGGCAGGCAGAAGAGGCAAGAGGGGGGAGAGAGGGAGAGAGAGAGAGAAAGATCTGGCTCCCTGCCCGACGCAGCGTATCGATGACGAGCAACATGTTGATACACTCGCTCCATTCACACACGCCGTGGCGAAATCGTTACAGTCTGGCACAGGGATCACGAAACCCAGGCGAAGGAGACCTTGCCTATACGACCCATTTGACTGGTTAAAAACCCAAGGAGTGGCATGTTCCCACCGTTTCTGTTTTTTTTTATTTTATCCTCTCCCCTTTTTTCATTCGGTTCTACCCAGCCATGTGTGCGCACACCGGGCTGGGCACACCTTGCGCTTGATTCATTCAGCAGTGACGCGCACAGCAGGGGCCGATTGGTCAAGTCTACCACGAGGTGAAACAAAAAAAAAAATGGAACGAGATGGCTTTCAATCATCATCTGTTCTGATGATTAATGCGTTAAATGTTTCCCTCAGACACCGCCTAACGAATTCAGATTCTAGACGCGTCTGTGGACTCAGACCCAGCTGGTGAGGCGGCCAGCAAACGCAGATGGAAAAAAAAAGGATTTAAACATCTTACCTTTCCCAGAAGCTTCCCTTTACTGTAAGATCTCCCCGTTTTGGTGTCCGTCACCACCTGAGCCAGCTCGGGTTTGCTCGGCTCGGCTTTATTCCTGGCGTTCCTCGCCGGGCCGGAGGGCTGTTGGGCTCCGTGGTCCGGAACGGGCTTTAGTAAATCCACGTTCATGTTGTGGCACGAAAGACGCTGCGCCGCCGCGAAACAGCCGCTGTCCATTCAACACCGAGGGGTCAGCGGGTCGGATCCCTTTTTTAGCCTTAAAGAAAATGTCTCAGTAAAACGTCTGACGCGCTGCGGTGCGTGCCGCTCCTCTGACTGTCTCCATCTGGCTTGTCTGGACACACATCTACCGGATTTATAGCGACCAGACACGTCATGGGAGCGGGGGCGGAGGGAAGTGGCGCACTGGTGGAGAAAGTCCACAAGATTTGCTTTGACGGCCCCCCCCCCGATCCAAAATTCACATGGAAGCCGTGAAGAATATGAATGAAAAAGCTAATAAAAAAACATAAACTGTGTGCCACTTAGGTGTAAGTCTCTCCGGGAGGCCGGTGCTTTGCGACAGCCACGACCGTTTCTGTTTCTAATATTTCAGATTTACAGACTGTCAAAGGAAAAACCGGTGGATTCCAAAAACACGTTTTTGTTTAACATATTATTCCTGGCCTTTTAATTTCTAACTTTTCACAATTAAAAGGAGACTGCGAAAAAAAGAAAAAAGTTGTGTTTATGATTAATAAGAATAGCTTTTTTATGACCAGTGAAATCCCCAGATGTTAAGCTGAAGACAGCTGCCACCTGGTGGACAGAAAGCGAAGTTCAGCAGCCTGAGCTGCAGATCTGTACAGGAAAATACAAATCTATCATTAATTTAGCTGATTTAAGAGTCTTAGTCAAAGAAAAAAAAGCTGGAGTCTCATAACTTTAAAAAACCAAACTGACTTAATGCTAAATTAATTTGAATGGACGATGTAGGAAATTCAGTCTAAATGCACAGGAGGGTTAAAAATAAATAAAATAAAAACAATAACTCACAAGGCAGACAGACCTCAATGAAAGTAAATGTAGAGCAGAGTTAGAGGCTCTGCTAAACACCACAGCAAAACAGGCAGACGGGTCTGATTCGTAAGCAGTTTTATTTGTTGGAAGCTGTGGAACAAGGATGGAAGACGACAGTAGCCAGAGTAAAAGTAACCACCAATATAAGAAACACATTTTCACAATATTACATCACAAATTGAACTTGACATTACACTGAAAAAGTCACACTAAAGGAATTACACAGATGTATCCCATTTAACTTAGGACTGGAATGTAAAAAAAAAAGAAGTTTCCTTAACTTCTTTTAAACAAATTAACAGACATGTTGATTATGTTGATTATTACGCCAAGATGATGCACGCTGCCATCATTTGTTTCAAACGGAATGCAGAAGATGTATAAAAGGTTGAGAAGATTAAAAAAAAAAGACCCACGTGTGTTTGAAAATCCCCTAAGAAAGGGAAGTGGACTGCGCCTCCTACAGTTTACTCCCAAGTGTTGGAATCTTGCAACAGCAGGGAGGAGCGGCTGAGTTACAGACGCCATCTGCTGGACAGCGCTCTCTTTTTTATGTTTAGAGACAGATAGTGGGGATGGAAAAAAAAACAAAAAACAACTCAGGCCATTCAGGGCTTCACCGTTATGCATGACACATTATGGGATTTATATTTTGCACTTCGTTTTCCAATATTTAAGTCACGCCTGCAGGTGGTCCTCAGGAGGGGGTTTGGTCCGGCTGTGGGGAAATCAGCAGTGTTTAAAGGTCCATCATGCCCTCTCCCTTTATCTTCTTCTCCTGGGACTCTGACCAGGCTTTGTTGATAGTTCTCTTCATCTCGTCGTCTCCGTCTTCATAAATCTTCTTCAGCATGGTCATCAGACCGTCGCTGGGGTCTGCAGTCCCGTCCACGTTGGGTTTACTGTTGGTAGACAATAGAACAGAGTTGTGGTTGTATTAGGATTCTGAGCTGCTCAGGTAGCTTGCATGTAAAACCTGTGAAGGTTTGCCACACGTTTATGGAAACATACAACATATAACATTGACAATGGTATCCAACTTAATCTTTATTATTTTTAGAAGCTTCCCGTTAACCAAATGCTTGTGTGATACGTCCCAGCATGTTGTGGTTAATGGCGTTCAAATCATTAAATCTGCTGCGATGCACTGAATTGAGACTAAGATTAAGATTTTCTTATTTGATTTCTTACATTTATCTATCTCATAAACATCTGGTCAACATTTTAAAGTTACTCATTCTTGAAAAGATTGAAATAATATTTATATTTTTAATGTTTCAGCTTGTTTTATCATTAATATATTTTCAAATAGGACATCTTCCCCTGGTCAAACCCAATAATAATATAAAAAAAAGATTTCTCATTCAGTTTCCCAGGTGTGAGCCATAATTAACACTTCCATTTACTTTCCTCTAATTAAAATTACTTGCTCATCCCTGCTAGAGGTCATCTGAATGAAACCGACGTGCCTCTGCCCCCCCCTTAAAGAAATCATCTTTAAGTAACACTAGAACATTAGGTTAATTTTTATCTTTTGGCTCCCCCTACAGTTGTAAGATGTAACACAATTGTCACAAAATACGTTCTCTGGGAGAGCCTTGAAAATAAACGTTCATTGTTAGGACTGACGTTGCTGTCAGAGGCCATGAAGATGACGTTGAAGAGCCCACAGAAAGATTCAGTAGCAGCAGAGAACAGCAGTGCACTGCAGGGCTTTAAACAGGCCCTCTGGAGCCCCTTAGCAACAACCTGTGCTGTACTTTCTCTCCTTATTAGGGATTTTCTGTACTCCTCTAACTAACATCCCACATGAAGAAAAGTCTGCTGCATCTGGAATACAGCTGCTGGTAAAATGATGGCTTTCGATGTGTTGGCATCAGGTCTCACCCACCCAAGAAAAAGAACCCTGAGCCTTTTCTTTATGATTTCAATCTGAGAGTGGTGTGATACTGGAGGAAGCTATGTTAGCAAACGTTAAGCTTCACATAAATCAGATCACAGGATCATCCAGAAGAAAAAGAAATTAAACAGACATTAGTAGTGAAGGCAGTTATATATATCAGAAAAATAGGTTATGCTAAAAATTTTGAACTAAGTATTTTGCATACTATAAATACAAAGGTTTGCACTCTATAATGAACCAAAAAGTCTGCTTTAATAAACTGTAACTGCTATGAGTTGTGGCAGGCATTGCAGAACTTAATTTATCCTAAATGTTGGGGTTCCTTCTCCCTGAATATCAAAACAAGACTGATTGGTGCATATACTGATATGACTGAGAACAGAGACAGCTACAGAGAAAATTTGCAGAAGAAAACAAAAAAAGAAGAAAAACAACAAAGTTGCTTAAAATCTGAAACTGAAAATGAATGGTTAACATCACACAAAATATGGAGATTTATGGTCAAAATGAGAAATGCATCCGGGAACATACGACTGTACAAATCAGCGGATTTCAGCTGACTGCACAGATATGTTAATTTACTTTATTGTGGGCATAATTTATCCCTATGGATCATGGGTAACCACTGACACACATTCACTCATTGTGTGATCCAATAAGTTAGGAAAAAAGAAGAATTCGTCCAAGCTTTGGCTGCAAAACCTTACCAAACTACTTTTGATGCACTTTCCTCAAATCACCTTAATATTGAAATTATTCAGTAAAGTTTGAACTTACTCCTTCTCTTTAGACTGCTTTTCCACTGCTGTTAGGCACTCCCACTTCTTGGTTGTCTGTTTCTTGCACATGATCAAGACCATGTCTGTTTTTATCTGATGCAGGGAGGAAAAGCAGAGATTGACATAAGTAGTGTCATAACATAACAAACAAATCAAGGGGCTGAAATTGCACTTTGCAGTCATTTCTATTTTCATATTTAATGGAGGCAGCGAATAAGCAAAACAAAATTGTGCCTGCATATAAAGTTGTAAAGTACTTTAAATTGTTATAATTTAAAATGCTTTAATGTGTTGGACACCGAGTCACTATTTCAAAATGTGTGTTTTCAGTTCTATGACAAACAATAAATGGCTGGACAAAACACAAACACAAACCGAGCCATTGACTAAAAACTTTATTACAGCCCCTCTGCTTAATGCTTGTCATCTTGTTGCTGAGAAAAGCAACTACCTGTAGCTTTAGGATGTAAAATCCCAGAGTCCAAGGGTATTCAAAAGTTTAGAAGAAAACAGTTACTCTTTTTGGATAGCTAACAACACTGGCACCAGTGATGATGCAACACATTGATTGCTTGAAATAAGGCCTGAGCTGGGTTGAGATGGGAGGAATTTGACAACAGCTGATTTCAATACAAACACAATGAAGCCCTAAAAGATATTGGGTGCCATCAGGGACAGAAATCCAAATTAACTTCCATATTCATAGATTTCATTAAACTCTTCCACATACTATACTGAAAACCTTACACAAACACTAGTGAAAAGCTCTCACATAAACATTTACCCCCTTATACAACCTGCTTATCCAAAGTAGTGAGAGCTACTCATAAACCCTGGTGAAAAGCTCTACCTCTAGTGCACTATAGTGAAAACCTCTTGTGCATTTTGCGCAATCTCCTTTTACCCCCCCCAAAAAAAAGAATTGATTATTGCTCAACTACCAGCTGAACACCTCACACAAGTAGTGGCATTACTCAACTTCATTTTGGCTTCAGCGGAGAACCTGTTCCGGATCCTGTCAAATGCTAAAACGCTTGGGCAGCAGCCAACCACCAGTCGCTAGCTGAGTATAGCAGTAGCTTTAATGATATAGTGAACAGCTGCTGAATTTAATTTCATATGTGTATATTCTGATTTATGTCTCTGGTGGCACCCCATAAAAAGATGCCTTCAAGTAGCAGATTAATGGCACCTCTGTGTCTATACTCACCTTTTTGTAGCTGTCCTTTCCATCAATCGGATGCAACAGATTCAGAATTGTTATCTGATGGTTTTTGCCATCTAGATCCTTTACCAGCACAGACAATGACCTACAGAGAGAGTGAGTAGAGTTAAGTATGTAACTTGTGGTAAAAGCTGAATACGCTGAGCAAACGCTTGTCATGCATGGCCTTACCTTTCTGTGAAGTCGGTCTCCACGTTTTCTAATGGAATTTTGTGCACATTATTTAGATTCAGGTAAATTTTAACAAACTTCTCAGATTGGTCCCATGCTACAGGAAGAAAACAACACAAATGTGTAAATATTTTGCCTAAAGCATTTGAACCACACACCTTCTTAAAAATGTGAAATAATAAAACATATAATAGCTCCATACCATAGCTGGTGATCTTCACTGTATACCCTGCTTTAGATGACGCAGATGGGTCTGCCTCTCTTTTAGTCCGTTGCTCTTTTTGCTGCCGTTTGGTTGTGAGTTCCTTCTCCACCTTCTTCTGCTCTTGTTTTAAGAGTTCCTGCACTCTTTTTCTTTCTGCCTTCTCCAAGAGAGAGCCCAACTCCTGCAAGTCGGCTTCCAACTGCTCAATCTGCGATGGGCAAAGAAGGGGATTTTTATGCCGTTTCAACAGTTTCTACGTGAACCATGCCATGACATTTACTATTCGTCTTGTTAGTTATTAACAGTATAATTAAATAAGAAAAAAGGGGGGAAGGGGGGGGGGGGAACAATAAAAATGTAACTACTGTGTAAAAATGCATGTCATGAAATTTTGTCTAACATAGCACTTAAATAATCTTGTCACAAACCCATGTCACAATATTCTAGAGGCTGTGTTTTAGTCTTTCATTCATTGCCTGTTACACAGTGTTTTTTTGCAACAAAACCTGGACATGTGCATGTCTGTTAGATTTATTTGCAAAGAGATTTTGCTGTGAAGACTGATGTCAAATGGTCTTAATATCATTAAACACATTCTTTCTTTTCACTTGTGAGTCAATTTCCCATAACACTCTTAACAAGATATACATTTCCCCAAAAAGCTACGAGCACGGAAAAGCATATTTTTGGTCAGCGACCAGTTTAAATGTCGTACAGTATCTTTAAATAAATAAAAAACAATTTGTTTTTCACTGCAAACGAGACTAAACTTAATTTGTGTTTAGGGGGCGAGAACTCTGTGCCACTACTACGAAGTCAAGTTCCTAGAATGTTCTGGTGAAATCCACTGGAAGCTAATAGCTAAGTTATAAACCATGTCTCCTAAACACCGTCAGAAACAAAATAAACACATTACTTGTATTAACAAATAAGCCGTTTCAGTTCATTTGGAACATCTTGAAGGTATCAGACCAAATAAATAAATGACATATCTGAAGAAGAGAGGTACTGTGCTAGTGGTTCACATCAGCTAGCATAAAAACCGCCATCGCTTATATCGCCAAAAGCCTAGTAAAAAACTATGCAGTCTTCCGTCTGGGAAAACATCTGCTCACCTGTTCAGTTATGTCCATTTCGACTGTGCCCGTATCAGCTGTTAAAAATGTTTCATACGCGTTTAACACACTTTCCCAGAAGTCTGAGCTACACGACGACCGTTCCAAACGAGTTCCGTCTCTTCTTCTGTATATTATCTGTTGGGAAGTAGGTATTTGCACAGTACCGCCACCTACTGGCCACACATGTTAGCAACTTAAATACGTCTTCGAAGGTTAAGTGCAAGCGATGTGAAGATAGTAAGTTTAGCTCTCGATTAATGTAGTGAATAACAGATAGTGAGCACTTAAAATACATCAAATATACAGAAATGGGGGTTATTTTAATTATTATAAATTAAATGTTACATTCTGCAGTCAAAAATACCTTAACCACCATATCATCAAAAGTGAAAAATAAGGTAGTAGTTTTCAAAATGATGTACAACCACTTAACTCTATTTGGGTGTATGGAAATGCGTCATAAATCTTTATATTAAGATAACACTTTGAGTGACGTGATTTTTTCCAATTTGAACAAACATGTTTTCATTTTACAGTTCTGGTGAAAGCATCACACAATAAAACAAAAAGTAAAGTGAAATAATCATCAAAACTTTCACTGTTAAGGCAGGATTACTTTGCAAAATAGCGCACAACATTTGTTTTTTTATTTTCTTAGGTGGCAAACATCGCTGTCTTTGCAGAATTTAAAAATAAACTAGGACGCTTTTTAAAACAGTTATATACAACAATATTTATTAATCTATTTTTGGGTACAGTATATTTAATGAACATGCACACTTTCTGGATTCAGATTGGTATTTCCATTCTTTATAATATATATATATATGGATAGATCAGGATGTCTGAAATGATGTATCCTCCTTGTTGCATCCACTAAGATAGCATGTTTCTCATAACTTCGTATGACTCCAGAGTCCAAAGCCGCAGTCACCACCTCGCCCTCAGGATCCCGGACATCTGATTGTGGTCAGCAAGGTGACGAAAGACAATACGACTTAGCCGCCACCTCTTCTTCACTCCCCGAGGGCGAGAGGTCAGCACACACCTGTTGCGTATCCTCACAGGGCAACTGTCTCTGGGTAGTTTTGCAATCTCTTTGTCTGCAACCTCCTGCAGAAACACATTTGATGTTATAGATTTATTTTGGTTCAAAATAATTTGGAACTATGTAAGTAGTTTTAATTTCTTAGTGAGAATTAATACACTGAATAGAAAATCTTTAACATACTGTACATACATACATACATACATACATACATACATACATACATACATACATACATTTTTATATATGTAATTTGATAGAACATTCATGGTGCATGATGTGTGTTTAGTAAGATAAGCTTTTTTACAAAAACTCTACCTGAAGTTCTTTTGGTAGGATGATATTCTTCCTCAATGCATTAATCCGTAACCTTTCATCAGCATGTTCAAAGGCCATTTGTCTTCTTTTGACATCTCTCAGCATCCTCCAGTCCACATAGTAGCCTCTCACCTGCTCGACTGCTCCCCAGCAAGTCCTCAGTGCCTGCAAACCATGTACCACACATAACTGACATTTATCCTGCACTTTTACAGGCTCTCAATACCTATGTACGAGTGGATATTTCTTTATTATAGGAGGATACCCTACCAGCTTTTATTAAAAAAAAAATAAAAAAAAGATCTGAGCCTCTGCAAATATTATTTTGGCTCAATAACAACTAATTCAACTTTACTGTGGTTTCTCTCCTTTGGGGAAAAATACTTCAAATACAACTCTCCTGTTGCAATTTATCATTCATTTACCATGAAGCATGCATCTTTTAAATAAAGGTTTCTTTTACAGAGGAATCAAATTTACAACTTTGGCCAACTTGGAAAAATTGTGTTTGCTACCTCCGATAGCACTAAAGAAAGAAAAAAAATAAGAAGACACACACAGTACAGGTCTGTCCCACGGGATTAAAAAGGTACAGTCCCACAGGAAACTTATTAAATAAATAAACGACAACATTTCTAACTGTATGTTAACGAAACCCCTGAGGTACCTAAACTAAGTTTCCAAAAAGACATGTACAAGTCATGAAGACTGATGTTAATGAAAAAAGATATCCTTATATTTTGAAGACATCTTTTTTGCCCAACATGACTTCAAATTTCAGTTTTCTTATTGTTAGCTAAACGCATTAAATAGAAGTGAGCTTTTATAGCTCCTTCAGCAACAATGTTAAATGCAAGTTTTGCTAGTATCTAGGACAACTAGCATTAGCAGAAAGCTAACGTCAGAAAGCTAGCACGGCTACGGACACTGTCACTGTTATGCTCTTTATTTGTTAGCCAAACAATGTGCACACAAGCCTCAAGAAAATAAACTTAAGGACGGCAACAAATAAGGTTATATTGAGAATGTTACCTGCTTTGGCGCACACGCGGTGGAATAAAGGGCATTTAACCCAAGACATGCTATTCTGTGCGCCGCCATGATGGATGAGCTGTTGTGCAAAGCGTCCGGGGAGGATAAAGCTCGAAAATATGTCGCCACCTATCGACGAGGAGTGTGAAATGCTTAACAGTGGTTAATCTGAGGTTTGGTTTGTGGACGAGTCCCAGGAATATTTAGCTAGTTAATCTTGCAGAGAAGTTTTAATAGACAACACTTTATCCACCAGAATACAAAAATGTAAATGATGAGATTTGTCATTCAAAAGTTATTTTGAGTTCATCGTGACATTGGGCACTTGGGTGTAAATGCTAGTCTTACTTTTATTGACCAGCACTTTCAGTTATATCTTTCTTCAAAGTCTGAACTTGAATCGGTATCTATTGAATTTGCAATAGATATATTTATTCACTTTATAGCCAGGGTCATCTGGCAAAACTTCAAAATTCAAACATGATCACACAGTTCTTAAAGGGTGTTGTAAGATATTTTAGTAAAGGTTGTGTATTTTTTACATAGAATTTTGGTCTGCTAGTATTAGATCATACACGCACACACACCATTTCTAGGTCCTTGTGTAACACTTTTGGTAAAAAATCAGTAGATGGCAGTGTAGGCACATGATTTCAGTTTGTTCTAAATTGAATAAAAACCTCCCGTTTTCCTGAAAGTCTATTTTTACTTATGTTTTAATACAGATCAATATTTCAACCTCCCACAAACCCCGGAATTGCAAAGCTATTGTCTTTTAAGAATACACCTGTATCTTGTTTCAGTTTGTGATTCAGCAGGATGCTGCCCTTAAAGTGTTATTGGTGTTCAACAAACCAACAAACAATGAAAGCAGATTCCATTAAATAACCCTTTTTATTTTCCAAACCTGTAGGGGATCTGTTTTTGGATAAATATTAACATATGACAAAGTGCAGGCAGCAGGCTAAGAAATTCATGAAACTAACAAGGGAATCAGCACAAGGATTTAAACAATAAAAATTAATTATATTACAAATGACGGAAAGGTGACCACATCAATGTGGCTTTAGAAATAACAGTAAAGCTGTCAATGATAACACAGTAACCTCTGGAAAGTGTGTCCTTTGTTGAGATGAATGAAAATGTCTTATTGGAATTGATGTCTGATTCATTTTAGCTGGAAGGTAACATATCACCTTGGTTACAAAATACAATTTTTTACAAAAGCGGGCAACCCCTTATTACTTTATTTATCTTCCAAATACCCAGACGTCTTGAAACAATTTAGTGGTCTTGATCGGTCTGTCTTTTATCTTTCAAGCATAAAGTGGTTCAAAGGATCAAATAATCAGAAAATCAAAAACTATAGTTATTGTTTGCTGCTACTAATATCGACCGGCAGATCTGAGAGGTTACTTTCTGGGTGTCCATGTTCTGAAATGTATGACAAATGTGAGGCAGTTAGCCCGAGCAAACAGGTTCAAGGTTTGTGTTTGAAATATCTCTGCTGCATGAGTCCAGGAGTTCTTCAGTTGAATCTCTAACAGCTTGATTCACTCTAAATTCTTGCCTCCTTAAGTGCATTTCTGAAGGTGAGTCAGTAATGAATGCCACCCATGGGTACAGAACAGCTTGGTCTTTTAAGCTGATTGCAAACAGTTGTCCATCTGATGCTGGGATTTTGTCTAATCTAATTGTCATATTCATACAGCCCAGGATTAATTTGCTTAACGTTTAAAGTCACATCAGGGTCCAGTTTAAAGTCTCTCTATTAATATACTAGAACATTTTATGCATGAGTGTAGTGTTTACGAGAGTGTGATATCGTATATGAAACCAATTCCGAATTTTAACTCAAAGGACTTCACAAAATGCCCAGAGAAAGGGTCAACATTTGGACACCGAAAGCCGTTAGGTGGGTACAGTTGCTTGTGCAATAATATATAATGACTGAAACTGGCATGACTGGGAATGCTGGTTACACCTGGGAATTGCAATACCATATGTAGGAAAAACACAAGAAGCACATTTTCCACTTTCATAAGGGAGCAGTGCAGTTTTTCAAATAAATAAATAATGTGCCATGGAAAATAATATTGTGGAAAGTATGCTGTCTAATCAAAGCAATGTCTTCCAACTAGATTGTACGTTGACAAATTAGATAATTAAACAGAGCGCCCTTAGTACAAAGCTTTCCAGCATAAATCCACACGTTGAAGGCCCAAGACTCAATGCACAGAAACCAAGAAAAAAATGTTGCTATTACATTCCTGGCAGCCAACCTACCACCCCAGCATTAATCAGTAATGGCTTCTGTTATTGTAGTTTATACATTCTTTTATTCCACCCTGAACACCATGATTAAAGCAAATAAAGGTTCCCTGGCTGATCAAACATCAAACTGATTTACTCCATACCACTCAGGGATGAAAAAGGGACAAGAAGCTTTTTTTGTACATTTTGTCCTTTGGTGAGAATGTTGAAAGATGACCAAGCAGTTTATTTGCTGCTGAGCTTTTTTTATCTGGGTGTTTACTGATGTAATCTAAGAAAGACAGGCGGAATGCACACATACTGTATATACATTGAAGCTTTGACATTTTCATGGTTAGAAATGACAATGCTCTCAACCTGAATGGTAGCTTCTGACATTATGCAGAATCCTATTGCAGGTTGTTAAAAGTCAGGCAAACATATCTGTTTGCCTGAAAATTTGGAATGTCCAATCAGCCTAACATGCAGGTTTTTGGACTGTGGGAGGAAGCCGCAGAACCCGGAGAGAACCCACACAGACACAGGGAGAACATGTAAACTCCACGCAGAAAGGTCCTGGTTCCCCTGGGGACTCAAACCCAGAACCCTCTTGCTGTGAGGCGATGGTGCCACGACTTTTTCATGTTCTCTAAAAAAATTAATAAGCAAGAAAAATTTAACGTGACAAACTGAGAACGTAATTGATTGCGTATTAGAAACGATATGAATGTCCACTCATCCATTTTCCATACCCACTTAATCGGGGCAGCAGCCTGACCAGCCCAGCTGCCATTGAACTGGAGGTTGGGTACACCATGAACAGGTTGCCAGCCCATTGCAGCACCACACAAGACAAACAACCATGCACACTCAAACGTAAGCCCAAGGTAAATTTAGAAATCCCAGAAAGGCTCCAGCTGAGAGCTGAACCAGAAGCCCTCTTGCTGTGATGTGCCAGTGCTAACCACCAGACCACGCAGCCCATCAATAAAATGTGTTTTCTTTATTTCAAAGCAAAGAACATTTCATGACCAAACCGTGGGGTCATGTGTCTTTCATATGCTTGCCAAAGACATTGTAACAATGTGCTGTCAAGAAACACTCACCTCAAGTTCAGTCCATACAAACGTGGTAAATTTCCAGCCGTTGATTTTCAAAACTTACAGAGTGTCTATAAGATAATAATCTATCAACCAAACATTATGCTGCAAGTAGAAAAAATGCTTCATCAAGGCATTTTCTGTGTGTTCCTGGACGTTTATCCACAAACGCTAATAAACACACTGCTGGAACACATACTTGGTAAACTGAGCCCCTGGTGTTTGGCTTTACTCTGTCTTTGAGCATTTCTATTGATTGATGCACCAAACCACACATTTGGGGCTATCCCTTTCAGTCTGACGCAAAGACTGAGCTTGGTTCTAACAGTTGTAAATGTTGTGTTACCTTCACTGACACATTAGAGTGTGAAATCCTTCCCTTCTTAGAAGGCACTGTTCAGATACAGCTCATTTAGCAGGAGGCCTTGACCTAAATTACTCTGAGGTCCCTGGTTTCCATAACTTAGGAATGCCTAGCATTTCCCCAGGAGTCAGAGGCTGACTTTTCAACTTTATGGCACGCATGCCGCTTATGAGACACATCTGAGGGTGATAAAACCCATGAGTACAGGCCATCTTTGGATGGGATCACATCAGCCACGCTACCTACTGAGACATCTCCTGAGTGAAGTTAGAAATACAGTTCAAATGCAAAAGAGTGTTGGACAGGGGTTGTACAACTCGGAAGTGGCCATGGGCATTTTGGTCTCACATCACAGGAATTTTGTAACCCTCTTTCATGAGTGTATGATTTCAATTCCAACTGGCTGATGAAATCTGTCAGACATACACAAAGGCACACAAACATTTTGAAAGTGTCCGCAATAACCTTTGTGGTACTTTTCTCTATATAGTTATTGCAAAAAACTGGACTGGAGTTTATAAAAAAATGGCATCTTCTACTTAAATTTTATGGAAATATTACCTTTTTGGTCAATAAATGATTCAAAATTAGCTGTTGGGATGCCTGTGGGTGTACTGCAGATATGACAAACTTGATTTCCTCCTCATTAACTAATTTTTCTCATTGAGTAAAAAGTTAATACAAAGTTTTACAAGAAATAATTCAGCTCATTTTAGTTTAGTTTCCTATGGCATCTATTTTTACATGTTATTGTTATTTTAAGGTCGAACAATATAACGCTCGGAGGTGAGGAGGAATTGAAGTGAGACCAGTTATCATGGTAAGGGCAAAGAGAAAGAAAACAGAGGAATTATTGGTGGGGTTTGGTGAGGTTCCGACATCTGTGATAATACTTGTAGGACCACCAGTGCTCTAGGAAGTGTAGTCTGCACGCTTTGAAAACAAATCTCTCTTGACCAAAAAGGATAAGGAGAAGGATAACTCCAGGTGCTGGTTTACAGAGCTATAATAATATCCTTAGTGTCAGTGTTTTAAGATACCTGCAGTCATGTTGTCAATACTTTTGGTTTGTGTTTTATTTGTATAAAAAAGACAGAAATATATTGATCGAAAGATGAAGCAGCAAAGATCAACAGAACCATACATTATTTATCACTGTCAGTCACTGAGTAAGTGGGAACCACTGTTTTCCGATGAGGGCCTCGACCTGATCTCAGCCTGTCAGTCAGAGGCAAATAACCTTACTTTTACTGTCAAGTGTAATGGATTTTCTCCTTTTTTCTGCCTGAAAATGTAACTAGTTTTCAGCACTCTCATTGGTCAAAATATAACTGTCATGCAGGGGGATATGGCTCCCTCTTCATTTTTCTTTAGACTGAAGTTTGTCTGGACTAAAGTTCCTGGATGGTTGATTTTTATAAAGGAAGTCACAAAA